ATATATATATATATATATATATATATGAAACACCAAAACTGGACACCTGAAATATCATGAAGGTTCAATTTTATCATAAGATCCCAAAAATGACATGCCTGGATGTTACCAAGATTTGGTATGAAACCCCCCAAGTTATGAACACTTGATTTGATATAGTTTCCAGACCTTTAATAAATAGTTAAGGCTATGGTTTGCCTCTGTTCTTTTTTTTTTTGTATGTTTAAGGGATTTAACTCATAGATATAATTTCCCTAATTAAGAACTATGAGCAAGAACTCTTTTGTGTTTATTGATTTCAACCCTTATCACATATTTGGTGAAATATACAATTAGGTACAACCTTCATTTATGTGTATCTCCAATTTACAGCTACTACCTGTCACATTGTAATAGTTTATTGAAACATATAAACAGTTTTAATTTCTGGTTTATTTCTTGATTTGCCACTTCTTTTTAATTTTCAGATAATATGACATGTTTTGAGGATTAATTTTATTCTATAAAAATTACTCCTAAGTAAAGGATAGATCGAATTTCTTAAAAGTTCATGCTAAATATGACTGATTGATATTTCCACTTTCACATTTTTAGACTGAATTAATAATTTTTGGATGGGTTAATAACAAAATAAGGTACTGAACAAAATAAATTAGATGAATATAATTAAGTTTTCAAATTACTGAAAGAAACTTAAAATTAGTAACCATTGACTTTTTCTATATAAGGATATTGTGTATGCATGAAAATAATAAAAAATATCAATGAATTTAATGGATTTTATGTTGGTTGTTTATTTTCTAATTTCATTTTAGTTACTACTTTCTTGAAAATAATTACATTTAAGATTCTAAGAAAATATGATTTAAAATTATTGCTTTAAAGTTATTCTAAGAATGTTAAATTAGATGTATTAATAGATATATATAAACTTAAGTATAAACTACAAAGCTTTTGTTTAAAAACACATTACAGGTCAAATTGAGATAATATGATTTCTGTTATAAACCAATTAAAATGAATATAAAATAGTTAACACTATTTATTCATTGATGTGACACTTTCACTGTTAACCTGATGAGATCAGGTAGCTTAGAGCAGGGTATCTCAACATTTTACACCTCAAGGCCCACTTAGTTATTTGACACAATAGTAAAACCCCACATACACAGTTGATGACTTGTTAGTTTAGGACAGTCACAGTTATTCCAGCCCTTTAAGTACTAAAAACAGGGTGGTGGGTGGGTTTGTATGTAAAGTATAAGTTACAAGTTGAGGATACCAAAGCTAATAATAATGAGGCTGAATCTATTTGGGTTTCTGTTAGTGGATATATGGGAGAAAGCTTTTAGTTGGAACTTGTTATAGACAAAACTGATAAAATTAATGAGAAATTTACAGTGAGATAAAGAATTCAACTGTTAATAAGGTTATAATTATGGGAGATTTCAATTTTATGCATATAGACTGGAAAATGTTATATAGAGTCAAATCATGAGTGAAATAGGCTTTTCAAACTGTTTAGGATTTTTTTTTCCACAAGTAGTTAAAGAACCTACTAGAAAAAAAAATGCTATTTTATATTTATTATTAACTTTTCATAAAGAAATGGTTGATAGAGTGAAGATTGGGAAAATGTCTGGATGCTCAATTAGATTTACTGTTTTGCTACCTACAGAGATAAGGAATAATTATATTTTTGGTTCCAAATCTCTATTTCTAATTTTGAAAAAAGCAATTTTTGAAAAGATGACACAAGAATTATCTGGTGGTGACCTGGACAACTGAATTAGTTGGAGATGATGATCAAATGGGGAAAAAAGTTTTGAAATAAATTTTTAAATATTCAAGATAGGCATGCAAGTGAAAACACCAGGTTGGCTCACAAAAGGTATAAAGGATAAAATTAAAGAAACACATTGTAAATATAAAAAATTTAAATTGACTTTAATGATGCAAGATATACAGGATTATACAAGATCAAGAGAGTTGGTCAAATGGAAAATAAGGAAATTTACAAAAGTATATGAAAGAAAGTTAACTGAAAATGTAAAAAAAATGTAATGTAGGTAAGCAAAATGTAAGGAATTTATTTGAGGAATGATACAGGAAGGCTAATAACTGATGATTATGGGATGGCTGGATTATTAAATTCTAATTTTTATTCAGTTTTTGCTAATGAAGACTTAAGTAACGTTTCTCAATCTTAAAATTTACTAGATGAAATCAAGATTGAACAAGATGATCACATTAATTCTGAGCTGTTTAAGAAAAAATTGGGAAGTTTAAAGAATGATAAAACTCCTGGATCAGATATTTACCCATGGGTTTTGAAAGAGGTTAAGGATTGGATATATGAGCTACTTTGCTACTATTTTTTGTAAGTCCTTGAATAGTGGGCAGGTGCAAAAAGATTTGAAGTTGGCTAATATTACTCCCCTTTCCAAGGAAGATGATAAAAATCGTCCCAGTATTAGACTTACATTACTGATGTGAAAATCTTTTGCCAGTCTAAAAAATGATGCTTGCAAAGTCATTTAACAAAGTTTATAATTTTGTTGGATAGTCAGCATGGTTTTAGGGGAAAATCTTGCCTTACTAATCTTTTGACATTCTTTGAAGAGGTTACTGCTTATGTAGATGAGGGTATGGAAGTGAATTTGGTATACATGGATTTTTAGAAAGCATCTAACAAGGTGCGACATAAAAGGCTTGTTAAAAAAAATTATTTCTATAGTTGTGGAGAACAAATTGGCTCACTGGATTGAAAACTGGCTAGATGGAATAAAGCAGAGGATTGTTATAAACAAAGTTCAGTAAAATTGGAATAATATTACAAGTAGGGTACCTCAGGGTTCAGTATTTGGACCTTTGCTCTTTTTGATTTACATCAATAGTATAGATGAAGGAATGGTCAATAGGTTATTTAAATTCACTGATGACATTAAAGATTTGGGTGTTACTGGCTGTGAAGAGGACACTGCTGCTTTACAAAAGGATTTGGATTATTTGGTGAGTTGGACAAATAAGTGGTAGATGACTTTTAATTATAATAAATTCAAGGTAATGCAAGTGGGATATCACAATTTGAATTATGAGTATAATTTTGATGGGAATAACCATAACAGTGAAAAAAATGTTGATGTTCTGTTCGATCAATTTCTTAAGCTACCCAAGCATTGAGCTGTTGATATTCACAGGGTAAATATAATTTTAGGCTGTATTTACAGAAATACTAAATACACGTTTGACGAGGTTAGAAGTCATTGTACTGGTCATTGGTTACATCACATTTGGAGAACTGGTTTAGCGTTGGGCTTCTTATCTTAGAAAGGACACTGAATTTTTGGAAAGGGGTTCAAAGGAGGACTACTAGGATGATACCTGGGATGGAAAGGTTGTCATATGAGGATAGGTTAAGATCTCTGAACTTGTTTACTCTTGAAAAAAGAAAAGTCAGAGGTGATATGAGAATGGTAAGACTAAAGTACATTAATATAAATGTTGGTAGAATGGTAGTCAGGTTCAGCTAAGAAAGCTTTATTTTTCTAATAGGGTGGTTGGCCTTTGGAACAGTTTGCCTTCAGATGTGATAAGTGCAGTTAATTTAACAGAGATTACAGGGAAAGCCTGATAAACATTTTAATGATAAGGGCTGACTTTGAATTTTTTTAGTATAATTTAGTGGAACATTGATGGCTTAGATAGACCAAAAGGTCCCTTGTTGTCCTTTATTGTTATGGTACATTATCTCACAGCCCACCAATTAAGAATCCTCTAAGCCAGTCAATTCTCAATTGGTGGGCTGTGAGATGAGCAGTTATAGGCTACCACAGGCTGGGAAAACTGTGACTGCCCTAAACTAATGAGACATCAACTTCATAGTTTGAACTTGAGGTGCAAAATGTTGAGAAACCTTGCTCTAAGCAACCTGATCTCATCAGGTTAAATTAAACATGCCTCACTGATAAATAAATGTAGTGTATTAACTGGTTTACGAAATAAATTATATTATTTCAATAAATCATAATTTGACCTGTAATGCAATTTTTTTTACTCTATATAGTTGTAGCTTATAACCTACTTTATGTATATTAAGTATATTATTTTGAGTTTAAATTCAGAAGCTATTTATAATATGCTGTTGTATACAACATGTGACTAAATATATATAAATATATATATATTAAATTCAGTTTTATGTTTAATACCTGCTATATCTAACTCAAAATGTTTGTGGTTTTGAAAAAAGATATTTCAAAACATCCCACTTTATTTAAGCTTTACAAAATTTTATTTGTTGGACATAAAGTTTGATTTACAGCATTGCTTTCTGTTTGTCATATAAAATACATGACCAATCTTTTTTAGTGATTTTGGCATATATTTTACAAAATTCAACTTTAAATAGATAGTTTTACTCTTTTCTCCATCCAAAAATGAGCTAAACTTATAACAAAAACACATTTGTGGTTAGATGTTCACAATAAACTTCAAGTCAAAACTGATAATCATCAGTAGTTGTCCCTGCTAAAATTTCTATGTTTAATAAGTTAACTTTAACCTTATTCCAACTATTTCCTGGATAAATAATTGTATAAATATTTCTTTTTTTCTCCAATTTTAACTCCAAGTTTCAATGTCTTGTGCACTGAATAGGATACAGTGTTATTCACTTTAGCTCCAGAAAATTTAATCAATTTGATAAAGAAAAACAGTTCAGGCACAAACATTATCCTTTTGATGAGATCAACAAAACACAACTTCTAACTAGATCATGAACAAAATAGTAAGTTTGGGAAATTTTTTAGATATTTTATGCAATAGTTTTTTGAATCAGTAGTAACTGTTTTCAAACCTGTAGGAAATCCTTACTTATTCCAACAAAGTTTTCCTGCTTATATATACCATGAAGATACTTTTGGTGTAAAATATTAGTTTAATTATATAAATATTAGGTTAATGATTACAATATCTTGTTAAATAATATGAATAGGTAAAGTCATAGTCAAGAAGTTCTGTTGGTATTTCAGAAAAAAAAAGAAGTTATAATATCATAAAGAAGTGGTCTTTAACAATCTCTTTGAGAGGTAAAGATACTTGAACTTAGCTAGGCTTTCTGATTCTACTTAGCTATTTATATACAGCTATTTACAACTATCGGGCAGGACTTAAGTGGAGTATGTTACTATCTTGTTTATGAACACTCTGTGAAATTGGATTGTTGATCCCCTCTACAGACAGTTACCTGCTATAAGGACAACAGTTGAGATTCCTCAATAATCATCTCCTCGGCTGACGACCTCCTTACATGTAGGCCGCAGCAGGATTGTGTGCTCAAATTGAGCAGTGTAACAACCCTTGATGTCACATAGTGGTGGATATGGAACAACAATCCCTTTGTCACACAAATCTTTCAATGCCAGTAAATACTTTGTTTGTCCCAGTCTGTCCAACCATCGTCGGCAAAATGCTAATGTTCCAAAATTTTGATTTATAACATTGAGCAACTGTTTGGATCGACCCAGCCTGTAAATGAAATTTAATTAACTGATTTAAAAATTTTGAATTCCAATAATTTCTAAAAGACAACTCTGATTTATTAAAGTTTTGTATAATAAAACACTATTTTCACACAAAATACTGATAGTCTTTAATTTTAGCTTGCAACACTTAATCTATCTTTAACTTTTATTTGTAACTAGTTTAAAAGGTTACATTTCTCTGACACTAGATGTAGTACAATATAAGAAAAGCAATTAATTTATCTATAAAACTAAGAAGTGATATAATCTCTAAAAAACTTGTTGTGAACTACATTCTAATACATATTGCTACTTTATTTTACTTAAGATTCTCCATTTCATGATGCATGTCCAGCTAGGCCATTTACCTCATTAAACAAATGAACCATGTACACTTGATTGTTTAATTTCCTTAATTGTTTTGACATCATTTAAGTAAACTTTATACCTGAAGGAATGTGTATAATCATAAGTTATTTTGAAGGAAAACTATCCTAAAATAATATATATATACATTTTTTTATAATTATTGAAGATTACATCTAATATTAATTACCTTAATGGAACGTGACCAACATCATAGTCCTTCATATAATGTGAAACCTCCATGTCATCATGAACAAATCCTTTTCCTGTGCTACCAAAAGTCTCAATAGCATAAAATTCCCCTTCCTGCATGAGAATAAATAAACTTAACAGTTTTAGCAAAGGTCCAACATCATTATCGTGTTCCAAGTTTATTTTCACTAGGTGGAATTGTGTATAATCATCAAACTTAATATTGGAAGGCTAGAAGATTCTAAAAATCAGTTGGTTAACTGATGTGCTGCTTGAAACTAATAATGTTCAATATTCATATTTATATAATTACTTACCATGGCATTACTAGTACAAGAACGTTCTCGTGGTTCTCCCCTTTTCTGGTCCCAAGTATACTTAACAACTAAGTTATGAAAAATCATTATTTTATATTATGAAATATAAAGCACTTAAGCCCCTCAAGTGAAGATAAGGATCAGTATTATGTAAAGTTCATTACAAAAAGAAACAAAAAACAAACTGGTTTCAACATTCTTAATACCAATAAACACTTTAATTACATATAACTTTGGATACAAATAGATGCAAGCTGAAATTGTAGTATTATTTATGTATAATTTATTAAGTGTTTTTTGTTCTTATTTAGACCTTTTAAACTTGAATTGCTCAATAAACTTTTAAGACCTTTTGCATTGAAAATCTGCAACTTATGAAACTTCCAGTGTGGACCCCATAATTGTATAGAAACCTTGAATTATAGCTTCTATATAAGAAAGCAAACTGTCTGACCCGCTTAAAAATTCCTTGAACACCAAAATATTCTTTAATACAAAAAGTAAAATCCCTATGCCTATCAAGAAAGATGTTAAACTGACTGACATTATTTTAGTATTAGCAATTATAGAACCAAGAAGGAAATGAATGAAATGGTTAAACTTGGCATATAATTCTGCTTTCAGATCAGATGATGTAAGCATACCAGTGTCACCTTTTTTTTAAAAAAAGAATAAAAAGCATTCTAACAGCAGCTAAAAGCTTTGAGGTAAATTGTAAGTATTTTTCTTTATCATCATCTACTGTTTTAATGTAATCCCTACTTACCTCCATACGTGTGGCTTCACCACCTTTTACAATTGGAACCGTCTTGCCTGCATGAATCCGATAAGGACCTATTGAATGGCCATTAAGATTTCTAATGGATTTAACTACGGGAAAGAAAAAAGAATTAAATTTTATATATTATTATCTTACAATTCAGAATATTCTAATTTATATAAACGATGACTTAAAATTTGTTAGTCATTGCTAGAAATGGGACATTTTCTGGATTATGTTAATTTTTTAATAACTCAGTAGTGAATCTAAACTTAATTTATCTGGTACCACATTTCATAATCTTATTTTCATTATTCTAATCTGCTGGTGTTTCAGTAAAAGTCGTACTTACTGATTACTTCTTAATCTCTTCCTTTTTTACAAATTACCAACAAAATTTTCATTTTACATTTTAAATCAGCTTAAAAAAAATAAATAAAGCTCAATTATTCACCATATCTTGTAATGCACACGAACCTTTAGAATGGAAAACTCTTAAATAAAAAACAGTTATATGTGAAAAAAAAATATATATATATATATATACGGCTTTGAGAAATCAGAAATTGAGAAGATCATCAAAAACTTAATAAATCTACAGAGATCAAGTTATTTTTTTCTACAGAAATCTTTGAAAAAGTTATGTTTGTTTGTTTGTTTTAAATTTCGTGCTAAGCTACACGAGGGCTATCTGCACTAGCCGTACCTAATTTAGCAGTGAAAGTCTAGAGGGAAGGCAGCTAGTCATCACCACCCACTGCCAACTCTTGGGCTACTCTTTTACCAACGAATAGTGGGATTGACCGTCACATTATAACGCCCCCACGGCTGAAAGGGCGAGCATGTTTGGTGTGACGGGGATTCGAACCTGCGACCCTCAGATTGCAAGTCGAGCACCCTAACCACCTGGCCTTGCCAGGCCTGAAAAGCTATGTACATATGATAATCAATAAAATAGTCTCCTGAGAACAATGCTTCACTAAACTAGCATATCTTAATCCTGAACCATACTTAAGATGTGACAATAATCCCACATTTGGTATCTCAAAATTAACAAAATAAAAACAAATTTAGATAAATTTTAGATTTACTAGAAAAAAAGTATTTTGTCAGGCACAAGGACTTAAATTTGTCCTCATGAAATTTATACAATTTTACTAAACATTAAAAGTCTTTTATACACAAAGAATCTGATTTTTTAGTAAATTATGTTTATTAAAGACTCGTTTGCAATGGTATGAAAATACTCATTTTCATCTTACAGTTTCATATTTCAAATGTAAAACTTCTAGGACATCCTAAATGAATATGAAATTTATTTTTTGAAAAATTTTCCTTTTTATCAATTATTTTCCCTACCTTCAACATCAACTGTAATGAATTCATCAATGTACAGTGAAAGAAAAAAGTTGAAAAATATGAAATAAAAATGAATAATACAATTTTTTTCTTCTCTGAATATGTCATTTGTTGCCAATCTTCAATTTAATTATCTTTACAATTTTAAGTATCAACATTTTCATAACTACTTTTGTTTAATCTAATTGTTTTATTGCCAAACTTCATTCCAAGAAACCTATTTATTATTTCATGAAAAGCAACAAATCAAGTATAAATATGCTAACAAAATTCCACAAGCTACTTGGAGCTGACAACAATTATAGACAAACTGTATATGTAAGCCTGCCTAAAAGAAATAACCACAATAACATAGTTTTAGGGGGAAAAAATGCTTTTTTCTATCGGTTATAAACATGTCCATTAAATAATTACACATGGTTTAGGTAAATGTCTTGAAACCTATGATAAATTTGGAGGAGCATCACTGGTGAGTTTGACAAATTTGTTGATATCACAGCAAATTGAGTTGGTAGGAGGTTAAAATTTTTTATCTGTAAATTGTGTTACTAATTGGTACAACACCCTGAAACCCATATAAGGGAAGAAAGAAATTACATAAAAGGGAATCCAGAGTGCAAAATGCATCATGTGACACACAGAAGTAACGATTTGAGCTCTGTAATTAGTGTTATTTTTGAATCATTTAACTGATTACATCTGATTAATTGATTAGTACAGTGTTCATCAAACCATGGTATGTACAAATAATAAAAAAAAACAAAAACATTAATGCTGCCAAGACAAGTTGCCTTCCTTCGATTCACCAAAGTTGAACAAACTTGAAGTAAAAAAATATTAGGTTAAAACTGAGCAGAACACAGATAGCTCATTACATAACCTTGTGCATAATGACAAACATAATAGCAATATTTCTATTATTAGATAGTTGGAATAATAAAAAATAACAATAATGGGAAACCCTAATTTTAATTAGTTAATTATGTGATAATTGATATAATCAGAATTTCAGTTAATTGACTGTTGGAATAATCAAAAACAGTAATAATAGGAAACTAATTTAGTTAGGGTGATTGATTATTTTGATAACAATCAATTTGATCAATAATTTTGATTAATCGACTGTTGGAATAATTGGAGAGTAATAATTAGAAGCACTAATTTTGATTAATTGGTTTAATTATAATATCAATTAAACTATTAATTCAAATGACACTAATTAATATAATCACTTCTCACAGGTAATCAATTACATTGATTAAATTGCCAAGCTATAGTGAATATTGAAAACTTAATTAATTTTTTTTTAAATTCAGAATCTAAAACATGGAGATAATAAAAAATTTGAAATATAACTTATGTCTTCATATATAGACATATGATGGTAAAAAAAGGTAAATAAATTTTGAATGTAACTGTAAAAAAGGTTGTAACATGCACTCATAAACAAAGAGTTATGTTTATTATTATTAGGCAATGATCTGATTTAAAATCACTACACTTTTCAACACTGACTTAAATAACAGGTTACTGAGGCATAAGTAGAAAGACATGATTTTCTACTGGTAAACTGAAACAGAAATAAAACTAGGCAATAATAGTTTGATTATAAGTGATCAAAGTAATTTAAGCAACAATAATTCTTGTATTTCATATTTTCAAAGAACTAAAAAAGTCAGAGACAATTTGGTTCAGAATAAATAAAGAAGCTTCAGGAGAAATATGATCAGTACTATTCATAAGCTAAGCCATGGCAATGACAATTTGATTACAGGTGATCAAAGTAGCTGCAACTGTAAGCTTGATTCATAAAACATAGTAAATTAACAATTCTACTTCACATAGTTTCATTAATGTATGATCGATTAAAAGCATTAAAAAAATAATTTAAACTCCTTACTCGGGTAGGTTTTCCCTTCTAATTCTATTTCATACGACTCCATAACTTCTTGAATGGCTCCTCCAATATCACAAAGACGAACATCAATGCCAGCCTCCTGCAAAAGTCATACATATTAGCTTCTATTGAGAATTATACTCCACCTTTATACTTTAAATTTAGATATAAAACAACAAAATTTACAAAACTCTATTTCCACACAGTGAATCACCACTCTCACTATTTATGACATATTCAAGCCTCTTTGACTATTTGTATCCAGTTTACAAACGTATTCTACTGGCATTAAAAATTAAACTATAACAAATTATAGCCTAGAACCATGTGATTTTTAATAGGGAATATGACAACATTAAGCTTTAGGTAAAATTATTTCTCATCTTTCCCCTCAAATCGAATATGAAATAAAATTGCAAGTAAAAGACTTAGAATTTTGTTTCCATATAAATTTTATCATCATTTGTTTTGGATAAAGCAAAAACTTTAAAAAATCCAAACTTTTAACCATAACTTTGACTTTTAGACTACCACTTGTAAATTTTACCTGAAGAGTATAAATATTTAAAATGTCCACCTGTGCACATAAAAAATGTCAACATATGAAACAAAGCTTCAAATCCATGGTCATTGTACAAATATGTTGTTTATTTCTAGCTCAAACAATTTGAAAACAGTAATCTATTCAGTCTTATAGTAAGATCTGCCTTGAAATGAGCTTAGAGAATAGCACAGGGTTTTTTGAAACAGCTACAGATAATTTCTAAAAGGAGTACAGGAGTAACTTTGGAAATACGATACAGTAAGAAAAATACCATCTACATATATTACTTTTATTGATATATACATAATATTTCACTGTAAAGTGTCTTTCACCAAAGTAACTAGTGTATTACAAGACCTTTGACTGTTTTGGGATGGCATGGATGCCTGAATTAAAGCAATACAAAAATAATCTGGATTTTCCTCTCTACGGGTCACCAGAAGCGAGATATAAAGAGCTACCTGACATAGTCACTCTATCTCCAGTGTATATGTCCTTTTTCAGCTATCCAGAGTGCCCCAAAGTAAAAAACGAGTGAATAGTCAAAACCAAGATTTCTTATTTTCGTTCATCATCTTTCTTCAACAGGCCTAGCACCTACCTAGTTCTATCAGTAACTATAATTTCATCATCATTATCATCTAATAGAGCAAAACATTCTCCACGATCTTTGACTACATATTTTATTATTATTCTATGCAAACTTTATAAAGCTTTATAATAACTCTATAACCTCGTAACTCATGTAGGCCATCTTAAAAAAAAAAAGTAAAGAAACAAGTATTAGGAAAAAGTTTATCACTAAATAAAAATGGTATGTAAGGATAGCTATTGAACTTGAAAAAAGGAACCAAACAAGATAGGAATGGAAGTGGACATATCACTCGATCTGGCTAATGATCACATAGCAGACCAACTAGAAAGGATTAAAGTTTAGACTGACCATGACTTACCAATAGTAAGACAACAAATAAATTTATGACTGCATTATGAAAGCATTCTTATTTAGAAACTATATTTTACCAATGTGTCTCATTTAGTGCTTTAACTATGGCCTACTTATATTGTAAGTAGGTATGCAACTCTTCTGAAAGTTCTTTACAAAAATTACACAAGTGGATGAAATTATTTTAAATTGGAGATGAAATGTCCTATATGTATATAGTTTTTGAAAAATAAGATATTTAATTTAGATTTTTTCTAAAGCAATGTTTTCCTTGTGCTTTTATTTCTTTTCACATGTTGTCTATCTAACATGTAAACGTAATTTTCATTTTAAGATTAAAAATACTTTTATGCATCAGAAAATTTTCCAATTTCACATGCGAAATTCTTATAATGTCCAGATAGTTATCAAACGTTTTTAAGAAAAAAATTTGTATTTTATCTGTTATTTTCACTAATGAATATCTGTATGAGCTTGGTCGATTTGACCGATCTTGTAACCACCACAAAAAATTAAGAAATAAATATAAGTTATGCCTTTTTCGTTCTACAATGACTACAAATTAACATGAAAACATAAATGTTGACTAAATAGCTTAAATCTTATAACATTAAAAATTTATATATACTGATTATTTTTATTATATTGACCTTTCAGCCATGCCTGGCCAACAATAAAGAAGTTACAAGGATGTGGCGCACGTGCACTCATGTTACCATATCCAATAATATAAAAATTACCTTTATTCTCAACAAAGTGACCTGTCCTAGTTGTGTTTTAGTGGACTAGTATTTTGTAAAATACAGTCACATTGCAATTATTATACATTATATATGTATACAGATTATTACTATTTACAAATAACTTCTTAAACTTATTTTTCTTAAAACATAGAACACTAAATAAAGAAGTAAAGCAAACAATTATCTCTTCTAGTTCCAACCTTTGTACTTAGTTGTTGCATGTCGTTGCTTGCTAAGCCTTAATAAATATCGTACGTGGAGAATGTGAAACAAAATAATTTTTTTAAGGTTTTATATATACATTTGATTAACCAAAAAATCATAAATTACTATACTGATACCATAGAGTTCCACTATAATTAAATACAGCTTAGTAACTAAGCTGTATTTCGGTCTAAAAAAATTATGAAATTTTGAGCAGACGAAAGACCTTGAAAGAACGAGATGGCATCCTAAAACTTTAAAATAGCTGAGAAAACTACTAGGGGGACATTTTAAGCGTTCGATTGGTTATTCACATATCATATATAGAACTATGTATACATATATATATAAGGAACTGTTTCCAAAAATGGAAAGAGGTGAGGGGCGCACTGCGTTTGATTCAATACGAGCGATATCTCAGCAAATAGAAAAGACAGAAGGTTCTTATTTTATATTCTACCTTGATAATATTGGTAATTTGAGTTCCTAATTTGTACAAAATTACAGAATTTGTGTTTTGACATCACAAACATTTAATGTGAACCAGTGCTGCATTCAGTATACCACGTGACACACAGAAATCGATGTTTAGGTGTGTTTTTTTAATATTTACTTTTAAGTTAAGAAATTAAATAATATACAATACTAAAATTTGAATTATAATCTACAGTTTGATATCAAACTTAATG